TGTCTGCAAGGTGGGGACTGAAGACTATGGCTTGAAACTGACAACCACTGAGGGTGCCGCAGGACAGAATTGCAAAGGACTGCAGCAAATGCTGATTCTGGGGGTTAAAAGGAAGGAGAGGAAGGCTCTGTGTGGAACCTGAGCCTGTTCCAAGGGAGATAAGTAGTGTGATATCAGTGCTCACACTGATGTAAATCTTGTGAGACAAAACAGACCCATGGCCTGAGAAGATCTGTGACAAGAGCCAAAAGCCTCATTTTGAACTCTTCATCATCCTGCTGTGCTGACAATGAAAATAAAGACAACAGTTGCTGAATCTGAGCTTTTATTCTGTTCCTGGCCCTGAACCTCACAGGGGACAACTGAAAGGAAATTCCATCCCATCGCATTGAGCTTCCCAGTTCCTGAAAACAGTAACAGAGAGATGGGTAGGAGGTGGAGGCTAACACGATGGGAAGGATGTCAGATTTTAAAAGCCTTAAAACTTTCAAAAACATTGAAAGAGAGATCTGGATACTCTGACACCAGCATAAAACAGAAGTATCTTCCAGATGTTTACACCAAGTGGATGTCTAGTGTTAAAAAATTCCCTCAGTGATATATAGAGATGTAGTGAGATCCTCATCCAATGTAGCTCATCCTCCTTCCACTGAATTCAATGGAGCTTTACCACTTCATGCATATTTAAGAAGTGACCCTTTAAATCTCCAAAGAAACCACCCTCAGTGTGCATGGCCATTATACTCTTGTCACCATTTGCAATTGAAATATGTATTTCAGCATACTCCTTAAATGCATTCTGGCAAAATGATAATATAGTTACACGTGTATTTGTAACACCACAGTGCTGTTAAAAGATCATGAAAACCAGTTTACTATGCAGTGTAAGTAATCTGTCAACACCCAAGACTAAAAGGAAACAACTTTTTTGTTCACAAATCTGAAGCTCAAATGCAGACATTAAAGAGAACCTCTGGATCATGCAGAACTTGGTAACCAATATTATATTTATTTTAGGTCCGTTTTATGCTAGTGATTAAGTAATCACCTGTTTTATCATGTTCTATATATGCTAGCAGGCAATCCAAGACGATGTAAATCCAAATGCTTTGATACAAATTTGCTTACTGTGTTTACAGGAGCAGGTTCAATTGTTTGGATGAAGTTTAATTTGGATGATCTTGTGGCCTGTTTGATGTGCCATTTTTTCACTCTCAAACCACAGGGAAAACAATTTAGAGTTTAGCGCTGCAAATTAAACTATTTTAGTCTAGTATTGTTATACTAGAGTACTGTGTTGATGTCAGACATTTGAACCACTGGGGAAAAAAACTCAGCAATGGATCAGTGCAGATCTGCCAGAACAGCTACACAGGTTTTTAAAAAAACACACACACATACAAAACTATTGGCGTTGAGCTTTATTATGAAATAAAGCTTGGAACATTTAATAGATTATGTAATACAGTGTTATTTCCTGTCCCCCAGTCAAACAAGACAGACTTCTTTCTTTTCTTTCTTCCCTTTCCCATCTTTGCAGGAATCTTAATAGACTATGGAAATGTTGCTATTTTCTGCTTAGAAACACAACTATGGAAATGTTGCTATTTTCTGCTTAGAAACACAACTATGACGAACATCCCTGGGCAACGCTGGGAAAATGATCGTGCAACTCTTGCATACCCTGGCTGTTCCACTGGGCGCAGATCAGTTTTCAGAAGGATTATTCATACTTGCACAAGGATCAGTGACTCTTGTTGCTCTAGTCCGTAGTTCCTGACCAGGACCACGGAAGGCAGTGGATTTACACAGAAGACAAAATGGACGTCTTGTAGCCTTTTGTACCTTATCACTTCTGGTGGGTCACCAAATCGCAAGAACTCAAAACTTGTTTATCAAAGCCCATGGTAAGCATGTTGGACTGGCCTTTATTTAAAGACAAACTCAAAACTCTTCTATATGTAAATTGAGAATATTTTTTTCTGAACTGAAACATTTTTAGTTTTTCCTTAGTTTAGTGCCTGGCCGTACCATTTTTCAATGACAGTTTTCCAAGTAGAACTTTGCCTTAAGACAGCTAAACTGGTTATTTGAGATGGGCTGTGGAATGTATTATGTTCCACAGATGCTGGTTTGCCTGCAGGGTAGATTAGATACTCTAGAAATGCCATAAGACCCTTAAAAAAAATGTGATATTGCTACAGAAATTGATCAAACTGTTGTATTACTGTAGGCTGTGGTATTTGGACCATTGCTAACAGAATATTGACAAGGTTATCATAAGTCAGGTTTTCCTGAGTGTTTCCTCATCTCCTGCCAGGAGATTTTGCCAAATGAGATTTTGAGGATTTCATAGTCCTCTAGGTTTTCCACATGCCAAATATCTTCAGTCAAGCTATCCTTCCACTAGAAATCCTGGATGTAACCACGGCACATTTTTAATGTTTTTTGTTCATCCTCCTTATGATGTCCAACCAAGACATGTTACCAGTAATTTAGCTGGAACCGTGTGTTCTTTAATGTTCTAAATCATGTCTGAAGACATGAGAACTGGGACTTCTTTCTTGCTGGCAGAAGAGAGTTTATTTCATCATAGTAGACAAATGTCAAGGACCCTCAGCAAACTGAGTTTGTTTTAATTAAATGACATGTTGCTGCTGTTCTAGCACAGTTTTTCTTTCCTTCTAGTACTCCAGATTGATTGTAAAAAGTGGCAAACATGAGCACTCAGGGAACTATTGAGACCTCATGAACAGAAAAACACCCATTGATCTTTGTCTTTGGGCTGTGGCTCAGACCTGAAAAGACGTCCTTAATTGCTTGTACTTCAAAATAAATCTTATTTCCTGATAGGATTTTATTGAAGAAAAAGAGGATCAGATACTGAGACAGAGAGAGGGAAGGAGAGCTGAACATCAAATCCCTAGTGTGATTTGGGCATCAAAACCTCTTAGGTAAATTCAAGCTCTGAGAATCTTGAGTGTTGTCTTTCCGTCTTTGAATTGTATCAGTTGGTTTGGGCTTCACTTCTGGTGTTGGCTTACAATACTGTCTGTTTTGAGAGGCTTTTAGAGACGAATAGATTCCCATGGTGTGTCCAGCTGCAAGAGCTTAAAAGATTTCAAGTGGGAACAGAAAAGTGGGTGTGGTTTTAGACTGCTGAAGTATTAAGCCAATTCCTCATATGTGGCAGAGCAGACAGATAGAATGAAATTTGTACTTAAATTTGCTGTAAGATTAGGAAGTATCTGAATTGTTTGTATCCTAACCTGTACTGTAAATTGTTCTAAATGCATGAATGAGAGGCAGTTTTAAAAATACTAGTTTTTTATGATTATTCTGTGATTGCTGAGTCTGGAAACAACAAAAGAATTTTATTTTCTTGGCTCTGCTAGACCCTGATGAGAGTGGGTTGAAAATTTTCTTTAAAAGCATCTTGTGTGAGAAAACTGAACTTTCACTGAGGTTAATATTCTGTAAGCTTTCCTTAGTAATTAAACAATATTGTAAAAATTGAAATCTTTACTATGGAGGGAGGAATATTTTCCCAAGAATTATGGTATTAGCTAATAGCTGATAGCTGTAAGCTGTCAACTTTAATATTCACACATACCCACATATTATTATTGTTAGGTAAGGTTGCATATGTTAAGAAATTACCTATAAGCAGGTGGTAATTGACTTCTGTTATTATTGCTCTAGGGTTTTACATATACTTGACTTACACCCTTTGCAAGCTGGAGGTGGGGTTAAAAGTTGAGGCAGAATTTCTCAATCAGCTATTTGCTGCTTCATGTTAAAGAACAACTGTTGACAACTGTTAAATGATGGCTCCTTTCTCTAAGAAAGCAGTCATTATCTTGTAAGACATTGACATTTTTCTACAGCAGTATTTTAATGCTGTAAGATAGGACCCACAAAAGAGCTTAGGCTAAGAGAAGGGGAGGGCAAGGAAAAGAAATACATACAGTGGTACTGGAAAAAAGGAAGAGATAAGTTGGTATTTAAAGCTATCAGTAGCTTAGATAAATGGGTAAATATTACGTACAAATACACACACATACACATGTCCACAGAGGAGCGTAAATTTGTACATACAAAAATTATCAATGCAAAAAGCACACATGCATGTGCATTTCTGTCTCTAGTATCCCAGAGACGATTCCTCCTCTCCCTTTGCTCAGTGTTCCCCCTGGAAGAGATAAGCTGTGCTTACTTTGGCATCATCATCCAAGCAACCCGGGAAAAAACATAGTCACCCCTCCTCTCCTCACTCCCTGTCTCTCCTGTTCCTTCCCGACACCTGTCTACCCCTCCTTCCTCTCCCTTCCCCACACCGGCGCTGCAGCCCACTTCGGGCCGTCTCGCTTCCGCGGCCCCTCCCGCAGCCCACCACGCGCGGCCCCCTCGGCTTACTTTGGCATCATCATCCAAGCAACCCGGGAAAAAACATAGTCACCCCTCCTCTCCTCACTCCCTGTCTCTCCTGTTCCTTCCCGACACCTGTCTACCCCTCCTTCCTCTCCCTTCCCCACACCGGCGCTGCAGCCCACTTCGGGCCGTCTCGCTTCCGCGGCCCCTCCCGCAGCCCACCACGCGCGGCCCCCTCGGGCCTTAGCCAGTGCCCCCGCCCCTTCTCCCTCCCACCGCTGCCGGCTGAAATTACATCTCCCCCTTGGAAGGAGCATACGCTGAGCGGGGCAGTCCGAGCAGCTGCCTCGCTCCGCGCACGTTCCCTCCGTGCGCCGCTGCTCTGCGG